GATTTAATTTAGATATGGGTTAATTAAAAATATTTGGAGTTGGAAGATTTGCTCGGATTTGCATTGAAGAAAAGATTTAATTGAATATGTTTTGAAGATAGATTTGGTTCAAAATCATTTAATCTAAGATTTACTCTACAAAAAAGATTTATATTCCATGAAGAGAGTTAATTTGGATGTTTTGGTGCAATATGTGGAACACGATGTTCCAACACATGTACAGTGCAACATGTGACCCTTGTCACCGGGCCATGATGGATACTGTTAAGTGTGAAATTTCTGATTGTTTTCAATCGGATTTTTTTGCTAATTTTTAACAATGCATTAAGTATATTTGTTTACCGAATTTGATCAAATCAAATTAAATAAAGATTTAAATTTGAATTTGAATAAAAAACAAATAATATCTTTTTGGATGTTGCTAAGAAACTAATCAAAACAGAATCTCCTATATTTTTTGGACGAAATCAAAGCTGCTAATGCCCAATGGAAAATCTCGGAATTGGATTTTTATTTAAGGAGACTCAACCTTAGAGTTTGAAGTGTGCATGTATTTAAGACTCTTTGTGTTAGAATTTCAATTTTCGAGTCTTTGTGTGTGTTATTTTTGTGTACCACTCTAAAGCCTCCATTCATATCTTAAGGTATAGAGTTTAGTTTATTACTTGAGTTGTAATTCTTTGTTCATAGATAATAATTCATTAAGCTTAAGAACAAAGTATTTGTGTGGTATGATTGTTTCAATCATATTGTAATTGTCTAAACACTTGGGATAATGTTTGAGTAAAAATGAGAGGGTTCTCATACTTATGGGGTGTAGAACGAAGCTTCATGGATAGTATTAGGAAATCAGCCTTAAACTGAGAGAGTTCAGAGTAAGTTCATTTGTCCTTTTGACTATTAGGAGTGAAATGATTCTGTAGAGAGTCCTAAATAGAAAGTCATTAGGATTAGGAAGAGGCATGGAACAACATGGAGTTGTTGTTCCTATAAGACTAATTGTTCTAATTTAAAATAGTGAATTTCCTTAATTGGGTATAGTGCCCCCCAGATGTAGGTGTGGCTTACACTAAATTGGGTTACCAATGCCCATGTGTTATTTATATGTTTTTTGCATTTACCTTCTAGCTTGCAAATTGGTTATTTATTCTGGCATATAATGTCCTAGACATTTGGTCAAACATTTGTCCCTGCCTGAACAAAATTTCACTCTCAATAGTCATATTAATTGTGTGCATATGAGTTACAATTTCATGAACCCAAACCAAAATATTAAGGTTGTGTTTGTTAATCAAACTAAGTAAATGAATTTTGAATATTGTGTTTGTATAAACTTATCTCTATAGCTACTAAGTTTCTTGTGAGGTGTGATATGCCATTTAGAGGGAGTGACGAGTTATTTAACTCTTTATGTTAGGGGTCATTTCTTCAATTGGCAGACACTCTAAAGGCAATTAACCTAGAGATAGCTAGTGTAATAGATTGTGCTCCGGGAAATAACTTTATGACTTCCTCTAAGATTCAAAAGGATCTTGTTACTGCTTGTGTATGCGACATAACACAACAAATTGTATGGGATATTGCGAATGATGTGTTTTTTATTTTGATTGATGAATCTGGTGACGTTGCCGATAAAGAACAAATGGTTGTTGTTGTTGAGTATAGCAAGTGTGAGTAGTATGACTAATAGTTTCACATTTGCTAGAAATGTAGAGACTTGAACATTTATATGTGAAAGAACTTATACACCTATCACCTTAAAGTATTTGGTGAATATGTGACGTGTCTCTCACAAAGATGTTGCTCAAAAAGAATAGTCCCACAATATTCAAAGAAAAATCACTTAAAAATTATTCTAAAGAAGTTTTCTACATTATTGGTCAAAAAGGAATAAATTTCGTCAAAGTGCGATATTGTAGTAGTATTAATGAATTAAAACGAAAGTCAATCAAACTTCAAGTTTGTACCCTTATTGATTTTTAAAAACTGAGTAGGTTTAATTCAAGCACTAAAATCAAGCATTCTCATCACTTGAAAAAAAAAAGTCCTAATTAAGATATTAATAAGTGAGTTACCAAAGCTAAGAATCTGTTGAAAATAATTTTGAAGTATTTCAATACAGCAAAGTTAAATTTAAACTGCATGTATTAAATTGTTATGATCAATACAATAATTCAAATCCCCTATAAACCTGGTATAATTACAACCTTGTGAAAAGTCATATTTAAAATGTAACCTTTTGAACAACTTTCAATGTGCCTGTGAAACATTCTGCTTAGAAAATGCACTTCTATTTAAATTGCTGAAGCATACAACTGGTACAAGAAATCAGGGAATCTCTTCTTAGAGTTGAACCAGTAGCGTAAAACTCAAAGCTTTAGATACAACCCTACTTAAAGAGAGAAATCTCTTATTTTCTGGGAAGCTTTAGATACAACCCTACTTGAAGAGAGAAATCTCTTATTTTCTGGGAAGCTTTAGATACAACCCTACTTAAAGAGAGAAATCTCTTATTTTCTAGGACATGAAAAGGGAAACCCCCAATCTAGAAACTATGATGGTTACTGCAATATCTAAAGCAAGAAATCTTTAATAGAATGGCCACAACAATTCCAGCAAAATAGAATTTCTAAAATTGAAACTGTACAGCAGTATCACTTCTATAAGTAAATCATTATCATTGATTATAGAGTTCCCCCGTATTAGCACACCATTCAACATTAAAAGCCAGAGGATAGTTATTCGTAGTCACTCTTGTATTAAAATGGTAGCTGCAAATTATCACCTTTTTCTGTAGACTGAAGTGTATAGTTGGATTTCATCCCAGAGAACTGGACAAAACAATCCAAAACACCTCACAAAAACACTTGCATCATATCAGTACAAGATCTTATTTGGTCATAAACAGATGAAATGAAACTTGTGCATCAAATTAGTAATCAATGGCTAAGTGTATTCCTAAATTGAAATATAACTAGAATGCATTAGGCGTGATAGAAAAATGAGGGGACAAGTAAAAAATGAGTATGCCATCACCCACATATAACTGCATTTACGATATTCAAGTAAGATAAAATATGTACCGACATTTATTGGATACTAGCAGGTACCAAAAATAAGACTGATATTCAAGTAAAATAAAATATGTACTGACATTTATTGGATACTAGCAAGTACCAAAAATAAGACTGTGAACATAAAGTATAAAGAGAATACAAGGAATTATATGAATATCAGAGACACAAATCTGTTCAATAACTCCCGCACTCAATGATGTATCTGATTTTGGAATATTCAGTAACAGAGCAAGTATTAAACTCAACTGTGGGCAGAATCATATAGAATATCTATTATAATCACAGTTTAAAAATGAAGTTTAATTTGCCATAGTGTTCTATCCAGTTATGTCCTTCTATCCAAATCGTTAATCTCAAGATCTTTCTTAATAACTTCTCTTGAAGTTTTTCTAAGCCTTCCTCTACCTCTAGTTGTTTGACTTCTCTCCATCTGAACAACTCTCCTTACCATAAAATCTACAGGTCTTCTCTCTAGATGCCCAAACCATCTAAGTCTATTTTCCACCATATTTTCTACTATAAATGTTACCCCAACGCTCTCTCTAATTTTCTAATTTCTAATCTTATCATGTATAGTCTTTAACACACGCCCAACGCAACATATATACTATCATTTATTGATTTTTAAGTGCAGAGAGCAGAAGGTTCTATACATTGGCAGGGAAATACAATTTCAACAACAGGACAACACTTCACCCATCAGCTTCCATCAACAATTCTTTTCACAGTTTATATAAGTTAATGAAATGAAATTTTACCTTAAATTCCCAAACCTCTTCATCCATATTGACCCATTATTTGCTTTATACAAACTAAACCAAAGTTAAATCCAGATAGATAAGGAATTTGAAGTATAGCATTGAAATGAGAAGATGATCCTCAAAAGTCAGAACAGTACCCCAATATGGAAGATGCATCATTACACATTAGTTTCTATGATCCATATTCTTAATAAACAAACAACACAATTGAAAGTTATTCACACAAACAACCTGCCTTGCCATCAATACCCATTCCGTTGTATCAATTTTCCAGTTAACAACAAACAGATAAAAACTCAGGGTACACTTCAACCAGAGTAGTCAATCCCGGATAGTGGCACGGAGCGGTTGACCCGAAAAATGGAATAACGGGATGGCTGCTATTTGATCATTTTTAGGACAAATTAATGAATAACAATTATAAACATATGAAGTGCAGAAAGAGGTGAGGAAAGAACATGTGATTTTTCGTTGGAATTACTAAAGTGCAGAAAAGTCAGTGGAGGAAGGCTTTGGTTGAGTCTCAACTGAAAAATCCAAAACTACACTTAATGTTTTAAATTTAAGAGGTAATTTTGGTTTTTCAGAGGGAAAAGAATGGTGGGACAGACACAGCTCCACCCCCACCCCCACTAATTACCCTATGGCGGCGCTCCGAACGGGCTCCGCTACCCCCTATTTACCCTACAACCATCACTGTAGTGCAAAGGCTCTTCCCATTACTGCCAACCTCCGCTCCGATCCGCTATAGCGGGATATCTCTACTATTGGCTGCTATTGACTACTCTAATTTCAACTCAACTTTCATAGTCATTCAAGAAAAACTCAGCTAAAAATTCCAACTCAGAATTACAAAGGAAACCATCACAAATCCAAAGCAATCAGGATAAGCTTTAAAAATTCAATAAACTCATTTCAAATTTGACATTCTGAAGTTACAAACCCAAAATAAAAGTCAATGAAGAAGCTCCATTACTGCAATTTTCACTCTAATTGAACTCAAGGTAAGGTAATTCACAACTTAAATACTCAATTGACAAATAAAAAAACATGTGATATCAGTCTGATTTTTACAGAGTAAATTAAAAACAGAAAATTCATAATCATAATCATCCCAATGGAGAAAATAGAGAGAAACCAAAAAAAGGAAAGAAAATCAAAACTAATCATACTTCTCTCTCCACGAGTAAATAAGGAAGAAAACCCACGAAAGTGCCAAGAGAACATCACCAACAGTTTGTCTAAGCCAATCCCAAGCAAGATCTTCAACCTTCCTTTCAAAGTAGATCCTCCACAACGCCATAAACACATGCAACAAAATACACCCCTTAGCAAACAAGTGTTGAAAATCCCGATCCTTAACAAACGAAACCATGAAAATGAGAAATCCAATAGCAACAAGCAGCAAACCGGAAAACGAATCGGAGGTTTTGATGAGAAGCTGATCGTGCGGCGTGGATCCGAGAAGCTTGGTGGCGGTTTGAACGCCGTGACCGAAAGTGTAGACTTCTTTCATGTAGAACATCATGAGAGCTCCACTTGTGATCGCGATGATGGAGTGGAGAATGCAGATGACGAAGAACGCCGATGACGATCCCATCGATCGGAATCGGAATCGGAATCGGAAAGGGATTCGGCGGTGAAAGATTCGGATTTTCAGGGGAGAGACATTGGAATCTGTAAAACCCTAACTCTCTCTCTGAGCTTGCGTTTTAGGAATCGAAATAGGTAAAGAAGTTAATTAACGATGTTAATTAGAAGATTAAAATTTGGGTTAAATTTTGATTAAATTTTAAATGAATGAGATTCTGAATTGGTAAGCGAGAGAGATTCTCTAAACTTGGTAGATAAGGATCTGGTGGGGCCCTTACACGTGGCGATAAAGTGGTAGTGCCGTCAGGTGAGTTTACGGTGGAAATTGGATATTTCTAATCTCTCGTTGTCATGAACGTCGGTAATGACATCGAAATACTCCCTCCCATCTAACCAACACAATTTTCTTAATCTTGTGTTAATCATAAGTATTCACTAGATCTAGATTTCATAATGATGGTATTACATAGGTTGGAAATTATGGATAATGTTGATGGGAGTCTTTTAATATATGACGATGAATATTAAATTTTAAATTGGGAAAAAGACAAAAGGAGTTTGAATTTAAAAATAGACAATAATTCGTGAAGTCGGGTAGAATATGAAACAGTACAATTTTTAAAACGTTGATGTATGCGAAATAGTACATCACTTGATAAAAATGTTCTGGGCGAAACAGTGCAACGTTTATTTTTTATCAAGAGTTACAATCTTATGAAACAACACTAATTTGTCTTATAAATTAAATATTCTGAATTCAGAAAAAATATATTATAAAATCGTGTATCCTCTTCACATAGTTTCAGACATTCTTTTTTATATTCGAATTTTTATCAGTCTTGTGCAGATTCGATTAGAATCTTAAATTATCTCGAGTATTCTTGCGTTCCAACCCTAAAACTTAAGAGAATGCATGTAATGGTAACTGAGATTTTTTTATCTAAATTCAAGAATAATAAACGACAAAGTGTATCAATGCCTTGATCAGATGTCATGATTCGCAATATCGATATGGCACTTCATTTTAATATTAAGAAGTTAAGTATACATTCGCTATATTGGAATATATTCATGCATATATATATATATATATATATATATATATATATATATATATATATATATATATATATATATATATATATATATATATATATATATATATATATATATATATACACCGTAACAGTAATAGTAGTAGGTATTTATGAGGTTTGATACTATGTTAGAAATATATTAAATCATTTTACATATGTTTAACATTTTTCGCACCAAGAATTGCTTAGGTTTGTACAAAACTACACATGTTTATTATCTTCGTACTAATTGATTATATTATTTAGAAATTTTTTACTAGACCAAGGATACCCAAGAGGGAAGGTTGATACAACACTCTTCATTAAATGTCAAGGAAAATACTTCATTTTGGTACAAGTATATGTAGATGATATAACATTTGGATCTACTAATATAAATATGGTCAATGAATTCTCTAAGTTGATGCAGTGAGAGTTCAAGATGAGCATGATGGGGGAGCTAAACTACTTCCTCGGATTAAAAATCAAGCAAATTGAAGAAGGAACGTTCATGAGCCAGATGAATTATTGCTATGAGCTACTCAAGCGCTTCGACATGGCTAACTCTAAAGCAATTGATACTACAATTCCTACATGTGTAAACTTGAATCTAAATGAGAATGGTAAGGATGTGGATGTAAAGAAATATCGAGGTATGATAGGTTCTCTACTCTATCTTACCGCTTCTCAATCGGATATCATATTTAGTGTATGTATGTGTGCTAGGTATCAATCATGTCCCAAGGAATCACATTTAAAAGCTGCCAAACGCATACTTAGATACTTATGTAGTACTCCAAAGTATGGACCATGGTATTCTAAAGGAACTGATTGCTCTTTGGTTGGCTATTTCGATTTCGACTTTGTCGGCAAACGCATACTTAGATACCTATGTAGTACTCCAAAGTATGGACCATGGTATTCTAAAGGAACTGATTGCTCTTTAGTTGGCTATTTCGATTTCGACTTTGCCGGTTGCAAATAGGATAGGAAAAGCACGAGTGGCACTTGTCATTTTTTCTTAAATTCCTTAGTGAGTTGGCATAACAAAAATCATGCTGCGACCGGTAGTTATTGTGCTCAAGTCTTGTGGCTCAAACAACAATTACTCGACTTCAATGTTAAACTTAAACATATTCCCATTTTGTGTGATAATACAAGCGCCATTAAATTAACCAAAAACCCTGTACTACATTCACGCACAAAACATATTGAAATTCACCATCATTTCCTTAGGGATCATGTAGAGAAAGGTGATGTTGTGTTTGAGCATGTTGATACCAAGAATCAACTTGTTGATATTTTCATAAAACCACTTGCGATAGAGCCTTTTTTTAACATCCGTAGGGAACTTAGTGTTCTCGATATCTCGAATCTTGTCTAAAATTGTATGATTTCATGCTCTATATCTATGCTTGTCTATATTTTTTATTAAAAATATTGAGAAGATCAAGCTATATGTGAGGGTATCCATCATCGGTCGTCATTGGAGGTAATATCGTTCCTCTCCAGTTAACTATTCTTGATCACATATATATGTAAGAAATGTGCCATGATGTGTGTTATATTGATGTTTATTCTATGGTTTAGATATATTTTAATCCATTAAGTTTGAAATATGTGTGAGTTTGTCATTTATTATTGGTAAATGCATACATGACTTGAAATGTGCATTTTTACATGTTTGCACTGCATAAGTTGACCAAAACAGCGCATAGGTCGACTCATAGTCTCTTACGAATCAAATTCAAGCTCAAAGTGAGAACTTTGACTTGTTTGCCTCCAATGTGATACAAAGGTTTGATAATCTGGCTGAAATCGCTGATGGCCAGAATCGTGCTCTAAAAAACAGTTTCAACACTTTCAACAGGGTTGTCTTGGAGCTTACCGAATGATTGGATGAGCAACAAGCACCGCCTCCAGATTACCATTTTAGAGGGAGGGATTATCCATATAGGGGGAGGAGACTTTTGAGGATTGAATTGTTTGGATGTAGTGCATCTCATGTTTTGTATTTCACATGTCATCTTATGTTTTGCTACCTTATTTGTTTTGTAACTTAGGGTTGTATCAAATATTTTGGCTATGTAGTGCACTTAAGTTTCATTATATGCTTCATGTCTTGTTTATCTTCATATTACTTGCATTAACATCATTTTATGTGAATGTTTGTTAATGTGTATTTGTTGCAAAGTATATGATTGTGTTCATATGGATATATATTCTGTTTTTCTTTGACCTTGTGATTCTCTCTTTTTGATGTTGTCAAAGGGGGAGAAGAGAATATAAGCAACACTTCATTTCATAAAGATTGATCAGAGTTTCTTTCGGAAGAATGCATAAAATCAGGGGGAGGATGATTCTCAAAGTACTCGATAAGTTGACGATTTTGCAACTATTTTGTCATCATAAAAAGGGGGGAGTATGTGAGGGCAAGGTGCCTTAGTCCTTATTTTAATGATGTCAAAACCTGTATTAGCTCGTACTTTGTAATTTGGATGGTATCATCGTGTCTTAACTTGCATTCATACTTTACAATGCACAAAATATTCCAAAATCATGTGTCTATACATATAAAAGCATCTCATATATGTTTTGTGTGTATTTGATCATGTTAGGCGACTTAGGTATTCATCAATATAGCTTAGGTGGACCAAACTATGAGCAAAAATTCATTTTTGGAAGTTTAGGATGTTTGAGTCGACTCAAACCCTTGCTCTGGTCGACTCATATAAGTTGATTTTCTATCCTTTGCTTTCAGGTGTGCTCGCGTCGATCCTTTGGTCGACTCATACTGTAAGTCTTTGTGTTTGTAATTTTTGGGCAAGCTTGCATCGACACGTGAACCCTGTTCTGGTCGACGCACAACTTCAATTTTTCCATAGGCTTGCTCTCAGGTGTGCTCAAGTCGACCCCCTTCAAGCTTAGGTCGACCGTTTGCTAAATTCCTGCTATTTTTCTGATCTGTCTCACTTCAAATTATTGTTATGTTTGTTAGTTGGTCAAGGCATCATATATATACATTGTAAGTGCTCTTGATTGGCTGCATTTTGTGGCAAAATATGAGTACATGTATGAATGTCATGTTTAATGTTATTACACTCATAATATGGATTGTGCAGGGTAAGTTAACTAAGCTAACTATAAGTTAAGCTGGATGTCATACTCAATGTTATGACATAGGTCGTATGACATCAAGCGCAGGTTTGTTATTCTGGTAGCTAAAACTCAGGAAACAAATCAGAAGCTCAAGCTGGAATGTAGGAGACATTTTAGACGCCCTAGGGGAACTAACATGTACTTGATTAAAGTGGCAAGCGGGCAGAATATTGAAGAGAGGGTTTATGATGGATAAAACCTAACTTATGCACCCAGGCCCAAGGACTGATATGCTGCTATAAATACCAGGAGAGGCAATCCTAGAAGGCAGTTGTTGAAGATAGAGAAGCAGAGAAATCACCATAGTGGTTTAGAAGTGAAGAGGGTGTTCTTCACGATTGAGGCTTAGGAATATGTGTAATCCAAGCAACTGTTGATTGCATTGGTTAGGTAGTTTCTAGGTTGTGTATCACTCGAAGCTGTTAAGTAAGAGTGTGTGTCACTTGATCAAAGTTTTGAAGCAAGATCAAGGTGTGTGTGTAGTTGAAGTGTCTCTTTAGTCTACTGGTTAATTTGTAACTATTAGTTATCACTGGTGTGTGATTGTAGGGAGTGAGTGGGTATACTCAGGTCTAGAGTGTTTCTAGGTTAAATTGTCATTGGGTAGTGATTAAGTGAGGAGTGCAAACTGGAGGTTTGACTCTGAATTGATACTGCTAATAGTGAAATTTCTCCCTGGCTTGGTAGCCCCCAGATGTAAGTGTGTTGCACTGAACTGGGTCAAAAACTAATTGTGTTATTTACTGCTTTGGTATTGCTGCATAATAATAGA